GATGCACAGCACTTCTACAATACATAACCAATGGCTGTGACCACTGCTCAATTATATATCTTTTCGTTTTTTGGTAAAAAAAAAAATCAATTTTAGCATATAGTAAAGCCACAACGCATGGCATAAATGCCCGTAGTGTTGGTATGTTAACATGGAACATAGAAACACAAGAAGAAGAAAATAAAAGAACATAGAAGAGAAGGCACAATTTAGAACTAAGTGGGTTTGGCCTTACATTGACATGTAAAACGACACAAATACCTGGCCATCAACATCAGCAACCATGTCAGCAAAGTAGTTCTCACACAATTCTACAACTAAAGGAAGTTGGAGCTTAAAACTTGAAGACAGAGAAAGTCCTCAATGAAGTTGAACTTCAATATGCCAATCTGTCTCTTCTTCTATAGGCGACAATCACAACTACAATAGCTTTTCCCATAGGGTTTTGTAAGTCACTGTCGAAGTGTGAGAGGCAATAGTTGTTGTATGATTGCATTATCAATTAGCGGGATGAGGTTGCGAATGTAAAGACTAAAGACTACATCAACACGACAACTTTGAAACTAAAGAAAACCACAAACCAATAGCTAGGTGGCTGCACAACAAAACAATCAAACAATCTTTGACCACCCAAGTCGTGCAGCAGAGAAATAAGCAAGTCTGAGATCTAACTTGATTGTAACAACCCTTACTATGCCTCTTTACTGCTCTATCCAAAGGTTGTGAGCACTAAAGCCTACCCCACAGGGTTTAGAAATCCACCACCAATGACCAAGTGGCAGTGTTTTTGCAAAGTCTGCAGCACCTTCCTTTGATAGGTCAGTGATTGATGGGTCAACCAGAACCCAAGACTCCAAATGGCTGCATGAGAACTTAGAAGTCCAATGAAAGATCATGTAATCTTGTCGAGGTTTTCGGCATAAGCTCTGCAAGAACACTTAACGTAACAGAGTGATCCGCTCAATTTTATTTTGGATGTTGTTCGGTAGTAACCACTGATCTACAGTATCTTTTACAGTACATGATTAGCTATGGGTAATTTAAACAGGAGATCTTGAGCTTAAGTTTATGCATATGCAGAATGAGATATCCATACTTAATTAGATCGACAGTGCTTAAATTTGACCTAATGAGATAATCCTATAAAAAAAGCAACTATGATTTCCCCCCTTATTTTTAAACCTTTTAAATGGGTTTTTATATTTTATTTTTAAACGTTTTATACTTTTTTTCGAATCTTTTAAATGGATATAAAAGTTTTTATTTATATTTTTTTATAAATAAGTTGTTATTTATTTCTATCTTCTAATCATTAAATATGGAAAATAAAATAATTATTTGTACTTTCGTTATCATGGTTAGCTATACATGAAGAATAAAAAAAAATTAGTTATTTTTCGTTGTTATAATTATTTACTAGGAGCATCGGCAAAAAAGACTTCCTTGATAGGCAAATTATGTCAAGGACCAAATCAATTTTAAGGGCCAAACTGATTTTAATACTTAGAAAAAACTCTAACCAATTGACCGAATTGCCCTTCTATGTTAAGCAACTGAAATTTAGGGGGGGGAACAGTCATTATATGCATGCATTCCCTAATTGGAGAACCACTAGAGAGACAAAGCAACAGTTGGCCATGATGGATGGCATTGATTGAGGAGCAATTGGCAGTGTGAGCAAGGACGTGGTCAAACAAGGTTAAGATGAATGGACAATGATTCTACTTCCTTCTTCTTAGATCAATCGTCCTTTGCCTTCAATGTTCCCTTCTTCTAAGGTACATTGTCCTTTGTTTTCGTTGCAGGTTACAGAGCTTCTCGTCTACCTCTAAGGCACTTTGTAAGCTTGCTTTGCCAGGTGCTCACTGTGTAATTGTAACAGGGGTCTCACAAGTAGCTAGTTATTATATCATGTAATTTGTCTTATATTTCATGAAATTATCAAATTACTTAGCCTCTGCATCAACATGAGTAGTTAAATTACATGAAAATACTATATATTATTATGAAAGTCAAGGCAAATTGGAATTAAAAAAATGAATAGGGGATTGCATGCACGATAAGGTGCAAATTTCATGAAAATATAGCTTATTATCTTGAAAGTAATACCAAAAGCAAGTAAATTACATAGAATTTTTCAATGATGAAGGCTAGAGGTTTGGGTGCAAGAGTATAGGCTAATGTGTAAAGTGAAAGGTAACAGGCTTTGGATGCAAGAATACATGCTTCAGGTGCAACGGCATAGGCTTAAGGTGCAAGGTGCAATAATATAAGTGTTGGGTCCAAGCTTGCAATGTAAGAGTATAAGCTCAAGATGCAAGGTGCAAGATTATAGACTTTCGATGCAAGGTTTAAACTTTAGGTGTAATGTTATAAGCTTATGGTGTTAAGATGTAGGCTTAAGGTGCAATGGTATAGGCTTACCTTGCACCTTAAGTCTATATCCTTGCAACATAAGCCTATACCCTTGCACAAAAAACTCTAACCTTCATCCTTGGAAAATTCTATGTAATTTACTTGCTTATAGTGTTAGTTTCAAGATAATAGGTTATATTTTTATCAAATTTGCACTTTTATAGTGTGTACAATTCCTTGATCATTTTTTTTATTCTAATTCACTATAACTTTTCAAATAATAGATAGTATTTTCATGTAATTTAACTACTCATGAAAGTACAGACGCTGAGTGATAAATGATAATTTTACATATTTTTATCCTTTTAATTTAGACTTTTAAATATTTATTTGAGGCTAATTGAGTTTAATTAGATATTATTTGATTTTCTTAGCCAATATTCAGTTTTGGAATTTTAACTAACTAAATCTTTGATTTTAAAATATAAATAATATCTTTAATATTTTTGCACAGGTGCTATTTAATTTTATTTTATTTGTGCAGATTTTCTAGATTCAATTTGAAAGATATTGATAGAGAATATTTTGGATAAGAAGAATATGGGCATGCTTGGAGATCAAATCAAGAATTCAATCTTCAAAATTTTGTTTATATTTATCTTGGGTATTTTAGTGTAGTTTTCATTTAGGGTTATTTAAGGTAGTTTTATTTTTTTATTAAATTATTAAGCTTCAAGTTGGAAGAGGCGTACGAACACAGCACAATACATATATATAAAGCAAGCCGCACGCACAGGGAGAAGGAACCATTCAAGCTAAAAAGGGAATAGCACGCACAGGAGGACGCACGGGAGGAGAAAAATCACGATTTTTTTGACGGAGAAGAGAAGAAAGGACAGCGATCGCAGTTTAATTTTTTTTCTTCAATACAGGCGAGGGCCTCTCTTATTTTTATCTCATATTGTTTGATTTTTAATTCTATGGATAGTTAACTTTTTTAGTGTGATCAATTATAAACCATGATCCTAAATTTTAATCAGAGTCCTTAATATTTAGAGAAGATTTTATTCTAGCTTTATTTCAATTTGGTCTTCTTCTTCCTACCTCTAAATGTTATGCTTTAATTACTATTACTGATTAGAGTAGCTTTATTGCATAATTTTTGAGTTATAAATTTTATCTGAGGTTTTACTTGCTATAATCGATTGATATAGCATTATAAGAGTAATTTGGCCTAGCTTGGGTGATTATCCATGCTTTATTTCTGGTATGGCTAACATAGAACAGTTGTTAGGTTGTGGGTTAAAGGAGATCTCAATTAATCTATAACTTAATCTCTTGTTTAATTCTTGAATGATAATTTAAGAAATATATAATAAAATCAGAATAATAAAGGTAAATAAAATTAATTTAAATTGTGGGCGAGGAAGATTAAATTTAGGTGATTGGATTGTGATTGATTGCACTGCTTGTTCTTGATAATTTTTTCAATTGAATTTTCTTTATTTATCTAATTTTAATTTAGATTTTTTTAATTTCATTATAAAACCCCCCATTTTTTTAGCTTTTCATAATCATAATTTAAATAGTTACTCTATTGACTTTTAGAGAGACAATCTAGGTTGCGCTTTACTGCAAAATCTAGTTTTTATTAATTTTGGTGCTATTCGACAGAGTAATTGGCTAAGTAATCGAATAATTTCATGAAATATAAAGCAAATTACATAATATAATATCTAGTTATTTACTAATTCCCTATTACAATTACATGATAAGTGGCCGGTGAACTAGGCGTAGCAAGTGCCTTAGAGGTAGACGGGAAGCTTCATAATGCATCTCAAAAGAAGGGAGCATCAAAGGTGAAGGATGATGCATCTAAATAAAGGAAGCAGTTTTGTCCTCCAATTGTTCTTAATCTCTTTCAACCATGTCCTTGCTCGCAATATCAATTGCTCTTCTGTCAACATTGTCTATCATAACCAACCATTGTTTCATCTCTCTAGTGGTTCTTCAATTAGGAAATATGTGCAAAAATTAGTTTTTTTTTTTAATTTCATTTGTTTAACACAGAGTGGCAATTTAGTAATTTTTTAGCAATTTGCCTTGTAAGGAGGTCTTCTTTAGCAATTCTCCCTTATTTATTTGTATTGACTTGCACAATTATGCTTCACACTACACTATTACTTTTTATAAAATTATCATTACATATACAATCACCTTCTGTAAAATTACTAAATTAATATTAATATTAGTTTAATATTTCACATATATGGCAGAAAAACAATAAATTAAAACATTATTAAATAATGATATATTTTACTTATGTTAGGCTATTCCATTTATTTGCGGGATAGAAAAAATTGGTTTTGGATGGATAAGGATGACTTAAAAAATCACTCCAAATTATTTCACTATTTTTTTATAAATTTTTCAAATTATAGTATCAATTTTTTTGTCATTCTACTCCATTTTATTCAATTGTTCCCCGTAGGGGAGGGGAACTCGCGAACACTTCCTAACTTTCCAACTCAACGTCACACGTGTCTGTCTCTCCTCCTCCATCCTCCATCTTTCACTCTGTCCACAAGTTCGGCTACTCTACTCCGGTTTCGCTTATCATAAATAAATAATATAATCACCTCACGCCCAAAATAAAATAAATGATCACAAAATTTGAGCCAATCAGGAAACGCTTTCTATCAGCATCTGCACCATTTCTCGCTGCAACGAAAATATCAGAATTCAAGAATCGAACTTCACCGTTCACCCAGAAAACCGAAAATGAGAAGACTTGGAGCTTAGATTTTGCTTCCCCCTACTCTTATGGTAACTTTCAGATGGTGGGCGGTATACTCTCTTTGCAATCTCAAGGCTTCAAAGCAGCAGCAACTTCAGCTTCTCTACTCAACTCATCGCTTTTAGCATCTCATAGATTCTCTTCCTCCCCTATATCTCTCTTCAAGGTACTTTTGAATTTTGTTCCTATTTTCCCTTGTTCATGCTATTCATTCTGGAGAATTATTTAATTATGTTCGTTTTTCTTTCTAGGAATCAGTTTCAAATGCCAGGGAATTATCCTCCAAACAAAGTTCTTTCCGCGGAGGTCGCCAAATCAACTTCGCGCGATTTTTTCGGCGCACTCGACGACGAAAGAGAACAGGTGATTGTGAATCTGCCAAATGCACTTCTATGACCTTATGAATTTGAGTGCCAGTGAAATTGAATTGATTGTTAGCACTGGCATTGTGATATTTATGGGATAAATTTGTAGAGCATTTTGAACATGGGGTTCTGATAGTCTTGTATATGGAATATAGCATTTGAATGTTTCTATAGAAATATTAGTATTTTACACTTCTGTTCTTAATATGCAAACTGTAATATGATTATTCTATGCTTCTATTCATGCGTATGCCATAATTCGGCGTCTTAGGTGATTTTAGAATTTAGATTATACCAGTAAACAATTAAATCATGTAATTTTCATATTATTCCTGGTGTTTGTTTTTACTTCCTACCTCGCTGCATCACTTGACTTCCTGCAACTGCTTGGCCTATGCCACCAAGAATTTTATGTTCATTCTCATAACTGTATGCCTTACGTTCTCACTTCTAAACTGAGCTGGCATTCATCTTCGTGCATGCCAAACCTCTTGTTAGACTAGCCTGTATGGCTTAAAAGGAGTTAAAAGCTGCTTAGTTTTTAAGAAATGTTTATTTTGAGAAAATGAGGTGTTTGTTCATGTTTCTGGGGGAAAAATAAATTGCTTCTGAGTAGTTGCAGAAGTAGGCTTTCTGCATGCACAACTTGGAGTTTTTCTTTTGAAGCTGAAGTGGAAGGAGAAGATTATTATTTTGAAGACAATCATAACTTCACTTTAAACTCATTAAAACATGTTAAATATTTGTCATTTAGAAATTGGACGATAAGAATCACTTCCAGTTAAATATTGGGTTAAAGGGTAAAAATGACCTGAAACTTTTTCTTTAGGGGCGTTTGGCATCCTGAACATTTTTTGGAGTATTTTTGCTCTGGAAGTTTCAAAAACAGAGTATTTTCGTCCCACTATTCAAAATCTCTAACATTGACTGTTAAACTCAAGTTTAACCAAGCATACGTTTGTATTTTTTCCTTTCTTCCTTCAGTGTTTAGTCTCTAATTTCGTTCTCCAGTGAATTTCTTAACTTTCCTTCTTCCAACGAATGAAAATGAAACCCAAAAATGCAGAAACGGGGAAGGAAAAATCATAAAATACCTTGGTCAAATTTCAATTAACGATCAACGTTAGGGATTTTTAACGGTGGGCAAAAATGCTCTATTTTTTAAACTTCTAAGGCAAAAATGCTTCGAAAAAAATTTAAGATGCCAGGCACCTCTGAAAAAAAAGTTTAAAGGTATTTTTGCCATTTAACCCTTGCATATTTGTCAAACAAAAATTGCTTCATTCACACTAGGGGGAAAAAGGGTTTCCAATTAAGTAGAAGCCACAGCAATTCCAAATGGGTCCACAAAGTTCAGTTGTCTAGAGAATAGTGAAGGTTGAAGGGTCTGGTTATTTTACTGCCATATCCACTGAAGAAAAGAAGGTGATACATCTTTTTCTTGAATAATCTGTCATATCAAGTATTGTGTGGAATTCTGGTGTTTATGAACACAAATGAATAAAATGAAAGGATAAGGTGTCATGTCAGAGCAACTGTAACTTACAATAATACTCGTTTGTTTCATATATCAAATTAGCCTCCAAATGATGTGGAGAAAATGGTTAGTTATAGCAAATAACATTTGGAGGCTGCAGGGGTTGTGCTTTCACCAACCTGTGTCCTGCCACTCACTGAAGAGAATGTAGAGAAGGTTTTGGATGAGGTAAGGCCTAGCTTGATGGCTGATGGAGGAAATGTCGCTCTACATGAAATAGATGGCCTTGTTGTTGTGCTCAAGCTACAAGGAGCATGCGGGTCATGTCCTAGCTCGACCATGACCTTAAAGATGGGCATCGAGACACGCCTCAAAGATAAGATTCCTGAAATCCTGGAGGTGGAGCAGATAGTCGACACTGAGACTGGACTCGAGTTAACTGAGGATAATGTTGAAACCGTACGAAATTCATTTATGCATTAATTTCCAGCATTTATATCATTTGATCAACATTCTGCATCCTCATGACCACTTAGGTTAAGGAGTAAAAGTAAAATCATCTGCTAGAAACTTGCACCGCAGCATACACACACAAGGTCTAAGACTTAATAAAAAAATGAATGAAAAAGGCTATAGCTTTTGTTTTACAAGGTTGAGTGAATCACGTTCAATTTCCTGTAGGTTTTGAAACCTACACAAACTATCTTTTTCTTCTCAGGGGTTGTGAGTATAGGTTTTATAAATTTAAGGTTCTAGAATAAATTGAAACTCGAATGGATATCATGTTATGTTTTGAAACTTCAGGGGAGCTGAATGTAAATTAAACATGACAATGATGACTAGTGCATTCTCCAAAACCATATAGAGTACTCTGCTCAGCAAGGCCAGAATGCTGGAAGTCTCTCCTTTTTTATTGAACAATTCAAATAGTGAGCTAAATAACAAAATGGAATAAAAACATCAGATGTGCTTTTCATGCCAACTAATTTTATCTTGCCTTAATCTTGAAGAAAATCGTCTCTGCATTAAACACATTATGTCTTATTGCTGCAGGATTCTGTATTTAGTTAATCATGTTCTAGTTACAGTTTTCTTTTGCTTTGTGAATGCAGTGTGAAAGCTTAAAATGTTTCTTTATGTTCAGGTTCTTGCTGAGATTAGACCATACCTTGGTGGCACTGGGGGAGGAACATTGGAACTTGTTCAGATCAATGACTATGTCGTCAAAGTTCGCCTTAGTGGACCGGCTGCGAAAGTCATGACCGTTCGTATTGCCCTAACACAAAAGTTGAGAGACAAGATACCTTCCATTGCAGCCGTGCAGCTAATAGAATGATAGATTCCATATTAATTTGAAAGCAAACGTATGAACATGTACATTTCTCTGCAGAGATATATTCAATGTCCATCATACAGGATTTAACGATTGTCTCGACTTTACCCTGAAGATTTCATCCCATTTGGGTGCAAATGAATATTATTATTTCTTTTTTCACTCTCTTTATCCATGTATCAATAGCAATATCGATTTGCATGTTTTATACAATTCTTTAGACATTTACAGTAGAATGCCTTTCAAAAGTATTTGGTCACTTGTGATACTTCCATTAAGATATGTGCAACTAACACTTAATTAAACGTGAGTTTCTTCTTTTTTGGTTCATATATATGTATATATACATGTATTAAATATAGTGTAGTGTCTTGAGAAGTCGGATTGGGATGGCGTGGTGACAATCGAGTTACGGGATTATTTATTTATTTTATTTCTGGGCAGAATAAAATGACCATAATACATCTGCAGGCCATGATAACTGCGTATAAGAGGAATTAAAGCCCGTTTGGTTGGTGGAAAATTAGTTGTAGGATAAGGAAATGGAAATGCACCCTACAATTTCCCGAGTTTGCTTCAGTTGAATCACGTTTCTTTTCTTTCTCAGGATTCGTTTTTTCCCCCATGAACTCTGGAAAATAAGTTCCTTTTTGTTTTTTTTTCTAAGAAATATTTTTTATTCCCACTTTGTCTTTTGCTGAGCCCAGCATTAGAGGTGTCAATTAAGACCAACCCGGGCCCTTCAAGGATCAGGGCCTAATTAGGCTGGCCCTTTTAAACTTAATTATACTTTAGGACTCTATTTTTAGCAGTCTGACCCTAACCCTCAAGGCTTCAACCCTAATTAATTTTTTAATTTTTCAATTTAAAAATTTTTAAAAAATATATTTAAAATCCTAACAAAGTTATCACACATCACATTAAATCTAGCAAAATAAAATAAAATCAATTCACATAACAAAAATTTTAAGTCTAATAAAAAAATAACATCCCAAAATCAACTCTAATATCAATTATACGTTGGTAGCATCATCAATTAAATTTTGATGATTTTCATCATTATTAACATCAATATGATTTGATCCTTCTCCTTGTGGATCCTCATCTATGGCAAATATGTTAAGTTTTTCATATCTTCCTTCTTCATCCTCATTATTTACAATAAATAATAAACTAAAATCATAATTTTAAGGTATTTAAAAAATGCAAAAATATTCAAAATAAGCAAATAATCATGTGCGTGTTTATTGTCTGGATTAAAGAATGAGTATTGAATGTGAGTAATGTGGTGTCTTCTTTTTATTTATTTTTTATATTTTTTTAAAATATATTAGGATTTAAAAGGAGTGACTTTTTTTTTACATTTAAAAGGATCAACCATTTTAAACTCAATTTACCTTTTTAAAAATTAAAATAGCAGCCTCGTTCTCAATTTTTTTGGATTGACGGCTCTACCCAGCACCCTTTCACCGTCTGTCACGGCCGCCTTCTTCCCCAATGACAACAAGCATCCCCTCCCACCATCGGGCACTGGATGCCGTGTCATCGAATATCCGAACAGGTCATGATGGTCAGCAAGCAGAAAAGCCAAGTAATCATCGACTTCTGTATCAGGATGGCTCGCGAATGCGAAGAACGTCTTGATGCAAGTGGATCTTCAGACGATGACTAGGCTTCTTCTTCGCCTACAAAACGTTCTATGCAAAGCTTCATCTTCGGCGAAGATTCTTTGGTGGAGTAGTTTGATGGAGGTGTCATCAATTCATCCGTTCCGCCTATAGTAAGTCTAAGAAATTGCAGATCCGTTACGGTGATCAAGTAATCGAAGAAATTGCAGATCTGAACAAGTCCAAGACATCGTCATCTCCATCCTTCGCCATTCCCGCTCCAGTTCTTTTTTCTTTTTTTAATATTTCTAGTTTCACATTTACATTGCTATTTGGATTTGAATATCTATTGCAAATTATTTGCTAATGCTCTTGTTGATTTTGCTGAAGTTTGCTACAGTGGTGGATGATATGCAAGAACCGGAAGCAGTCGTGGGGACTGGGGAGGGAGGGAGAGAGAGTTTCTCGTGAGTTCACATTTACATTCACATGGTGTTCTCCTATTTTTGCAGAGTGCGCGAGTCAATTCTTACGATGCGCTACTTTATTTGTTGTGAAAATAAAATCTACAGTCATGCCTTGAAAGAGAACATGATACAAAATGATTTGATCGTGTATGTGATTCATATCTTATAGTTACATCTCCTTTTCTCCTTTTCCCCACTCTCTTTGAATAAATCAAATGTATTCATCTTTGTGGCAGATGAATGTATGCATGTTCCCTGAATAGGATGGTGTAGCTGCTTGTTGAAATTTTTCATGCAAGACATCAATTGAACAGTTTTTCTTTTTTAAATGGAGAAACAAAAATCCTCTCTATACTCTGATATGAAGGTTTTGGAAGCTTGACCATGGTTACTATTCCAATATACATATATAGATGTATGTATCATTCCCTGGAATTGTTTAAAAAGGAAAAAATAAACCTGTTGTTTATTTCTTCTGGTGCTAGTAGTCATCCTCTTCATCTCTTGACCTAAAGAATCTCCTCACAACTGCAGCAGCAGCACCAAGGACCAAAAACAGCACTATAGTATCAAACCCACCTCCAATGCCAACAGCTACACTGGGACCTGGTGCGAAGAATGAAAATGGAGACCACCCCCACCCACCATAGAATGGCACGCCGTAACCATAGCCGTAGCCACCAACCAAAGGAGGCGCCACTGGGGGATTCACATAGATATTGGTCCTGCCAGTACAAGTTTTCTTCAGAATCAAGGTTATCCGCAGATATTTTTGTAAGCAAAAAGCTTCTCATTCCCATATATGTAACTTAATATGGAACTACCAGAAAGAAATAAGTCTCATCCAAAAATCACACTTATAACTGACTTTGTCTTCAAATAATGCTCCACGGAATAAATAAAATGAGCCATAAGCCAACATGGAACTAAATCATATACGGAAAAGTTTGGACCCTCTCCGAAAAAAGAAAAAGAAAAAAAGAGGATCACAGATGTGGAAAATAACATTTTAATGACTGAACATGCATCTATGTGACCATATAAGACCAAAATAGCATATATCTGAGAAATTATTGCGATATGGTACTGAAGATGTGCTTCTATAAGACTTAATTATATAAGAGAACATTATGTTTTATTCAAAACAGAGAAACCATTAGGAAGAAGACAGGTAGGAACTAGCAGTTTCATCTAAATATTAAATGGACATAGAGAAAATACAACTATTGATCTGTGTACTTTTAATGTGTTTTGGTTTAGTTTGTTATCTAATTATAATAAATAAGAAAATAATTAAGATTTAATTTGGGTTTAAATAGATTTAGATATGATTTATGATTTAAATAGGATTTAGATAGGATTTGTTATTTAATTATATTAGTATTATATTAGTAGGATTTGGATAGATTAGGATATATTTATATTCATATGATGATAATGCCTATAAATAAAAGGCAATAGATTATCTAATTTTAGACTTTGATTTCAAATGAAAATTACATATTTGGATTTGCTCTCTTTATCTCTCTGTTTTGTTTCTCTATTACCCCCCTCCCTCTTTCCAATCTAAATTCTAGCTCGTTGTTCTTATACATTTTTTTCATTGCTCCAAGTTTTTTAAGTTTTATCTATCTGCAACGTTTACATGGACTAATGCTAAAACACTCTAAAAGTATAGGGACCAACGGTTGTATTTTTCCATGATAATATTATGCTCAATCTATCAACTGCTACAAAACATGCACGCTATGAACTGTGCATGACATACGTTGGAATTGGAACCTCTTACGACACACAAGATAATTATACTTGAAACTTCAATTCTTATGTAGTGCCCGAGCTAACCAAAACAACGTAAATGAACCAGGAAGATTAAAAATTCAGTCTTGATACCCAAAAAAAAGGTGATCACGTGAAGGCAAATGCGAAAAGAAGAGAGGCAAGTCCAAGTATCAGAGAAGAGCATTTAACAAAAAGATAATTATATTTACATTGGCGAAGGCGTTGATTGAAGTTTCTAAACATTTTCTTTTACCTGGAGTTGTTGATTCTGGGTGAGGAACGAGGAGCCGAGGATCTGAAGGCCTGGCCACCAACTCTGCCACCGCTCTTGGCGGCTGATGCATCATGAACTGAACCCAGCGTCAACACTCCGGCAGCCACTGCTACCAGAGCTAACTTGGCCAACTTGTTCTCTTTCTTCCTAACCACATCACCCCCATAACAAGTAATCACTCAACAAGCCAAAGCACATCAGCACTACTTTCATCTACATGTAAATTTAACTTCAAAATTATGATTCAATTACGTTTTGAGTGAAAACTGCTCATTGGTAGCTTCAGTTACAGCAAGCATTCCCCCAATAGGAAACAAGAGCATATTTAATAATCATAATCACAAGAAATAAGAGAATTGAGAAATTTAGCAGTGTCATACTCTGGACCCAAAGAAACCCTAAAATTTAGAAAACAGTGAAGCAATTGAGCTGAAGAATTAATGGGATACCTGGGGGAATCTTGTTCATCATTCTGAGAATAACTGCAAGAGATGAATTTAGGGGAAGCAGGAGTTGGGAAGTAGGGTTTGTAAGGAAAGGGAATGAGGGCGTTGGTGAGGAAGCTTTGGCGAGACCACATCTCAACGAGTTGCAGAGACTCCGATCTCCTCTGTTGCGACGACCAACGAACTCAAAAATTGGTTGCGTCTTCCGGATTAATGCAGAATTGCCAATCCATTTTCTGATCCTCAAGTTGCCACGTGGTGCCATAGACTTAGATGAGTCGATATTTTGAAAAGTAATATATCTTTGTCTACATCGCTAAAATGCTTCTGGCAAAACACAAAAAAAAAAAAAAAAAATCCCTAAAATGCTTTTGGCACATGAGATGTGATTAAGGAAGTTCACGACACTGACGAAGCTGGGACTTAACCTGATCTGAGGCGGAAGAAACTTCATGTTGAAGGCTGATCATGGTGGTGAAGTAATCTGGACTTGGTAGTGTATCGTGTCATCCATGGCATCCAATATTACATATATAAAAGAACATAATTTTATATTTTTATATTTTACTCACATTTTATTATAGATTTTTTTTTGTATTTTAAATTTTTAGACTTTTATTTTTGAGTATTTTAAATTCTTAAATGAATAAAATGTAAGAATTTTTGAGATACCTAAAACAAAAAAAAAACAAAAATGTAGTTAATAAGGTCATCAATTAAGATCGAGCTTATTGGGCCTGTTCTTTTAAATCTAAAAAAATTTAGAACTAGACCTCTATTTTAGAATGTAAAATGATAAGTTGAATTTAAAAAGGATAGCTCTTCTAAGTCTTTTTATAATTTTTTTTAAATTTTAATATTAAAAAAAATTAAAAACTACACTAATTTTAAAACTCTAACCTCATTACATAGAGATGAAAAAGAAATATACGAAAACTTAATATTTTTGCCACTGTTGGGGTTCCACAAAGAGAATGATTAAATTATATTGATGTTAATAACAATAAAAATAATTAAGATTTTGCTGATAATGGTAGCAAAGTTTAATTGTTATTGATGTTGATTTTGTAATTTTTTTCTTAGACTTAAATTTATTTTTATAGATTTAATGTTACGGTAATAATTTTTTTTGAAATTTTAAATATATTTTTTTAGATTTTTAAATTAAAAAATATATATATATATATATATATATATGTATATATATATATATATATATGTATATCCAAGGCTGAGCCGACTACAATGAAACCTTAAGGTATAATTGAGCTTTACAGTTCCAGCCTTTTATGCCCTGATTCTTTAAGGGTTGACTCTCTAGAGTGGGGCCAATCCTAATTGACAATTCTAAGTGTAGAGACTTAGATAGCCAAAAAAAAAAAATACAAGAATCTGTAACAAAATACGAGCACAGTGTAAGGATTTAAAATTATATTTTTTCTTATATCAATTCAATCAAATAAAATTTTTGTATTTGTTATTATTTTTAAGAACATAGTGCCTATTTAATTTCTTTTTTTTATATCATCATTAATAGCAAGTTTAATTTACATCTAACACAACATGTTTTTATTAAATAGAACATGAATGATATGATACACTAAGTTTATACAAAAATTTTTGAGTAAAGCTATTTATGACATTTAATCTGTAACAACAATGAACATTTTTTAAAAAAAAAGAGCTTATATATATATATATTAAAAAATATAAGATATTTTTAATTAAATATTGATCCTTATTAAAGTAGTTAATTATTTTCAAACTAATACTATTTTTTTATATTTGCTCTTATTTAATAGAGTCTTTTACTTTAAAATAAAGGTTAAAATGCATAAAATCACTTTAAATTTTGAAACAATCGTACATGACCCACTCACATTTAAAAATTTAAAATTAATTTTCTTAACCTTTAATTTTATTTTTCAAAGTCCTTACTGTTAATTATATTATTTTTTTAAGGGCAAAAATGTTATTTAACTAAAATGTTATTAAACAAAAATAGTATATTGTAGAACTATTTAATATTTATAATAAATTTTTTATATTGTTTAGATAGTTGAGGTATTGACAACTCAAAAAAAATTATTATCATTATATAAATTTTTAAATATTTAGGTGTATATTAGTTTTATTCATGTTTTTTTCATTATCAATGGCACATAGCTATATTTGTTTTAAAGGATAATTTTTTTTTATATTTTTAGGTTAGATTAATATAATGTACATGGCAAAAATATTTAAAACTTTTAATAGTACTAGGTTAGATTAATTTAACCTTAAATATAAGAAAACGATGCATCATTAATAACAAAAAAATGGATAAAGATCATACAAAAGTAAATATTTAAAATTTTACACGGTGGTAATATTTTTTTTTTTTGCTATCAATGCCTCGACAATCCAAAAAAAATAAGAAATTGATTAGACATAATTCTATAATATAATAATTTATTTGATAATATTTTTTAAGTTAAATTACATTTTAACTCTTATAAAAAATAATATAATTAACAGTATGGGCTTTGAAAAATAAATTTAAAGGTTAGAGGGGGTAATTTGAAAAATTTAAAGATGAGAGGAGTTATATATAACTGTTTCAAAGTTTAGAGAGTTTTATGCATTTAGCCTAAAATAAATATAAAGTGATTTTTTTATTGTGGACACTTTTGAGAATAAAACACATTAATTACGTCTTAAAATACTAAAAATATTTTTTATTTTTTAACATTCAATCTCTAAAAAAATGCATCACATTTTTAAATGGCGGTCCTTATACCTATACAAATAAAAAATGCTCCCATATACAAATAAAAATTTGTTATTTGGTTGAAAGTACATAAAATAATGAAAAATTTTTAGTTTCGGTTCTAATAATACCACAATTGATATTATGGTGGTAGGTGATAAAACACACAATTAATCGCACCTTCCCTTTTCATGACAAAGACAAAAATATTTAATTATTTTAAAATATCATGACATCTTTTATATTTAAAGTTAAATTAAATTTTTAAAAAATATTTTATATACAAACATAGAGGGAGTTCATATGAATACTAGATTACAAGTTTCATGACAAAAACTGGAATTTATTTCTAGTAGTCTCTACAGTATTAAATGTACTGGGAAGAGGGAAGTGGATTCTCTCCCTCTTCTTTATCCATTTGTTTTCCTTTTTTTTAATTATAAGATTAATATCGTGATTTATTTAAATTTAATTTTTACTGCAATTTTAAATGGTCAAAAAAAATTTTGACATTTAAATTTGATTATTTATATTTTTATAATTTAATATTTTAACAATAATTTTATAAGAGATCAAATTTAAATCATTCAAATCTTCATCTAATTGTTAAAAAAAAGGGAAAATAAAGGGAAGAAAATGAGAAAGAAAGGGGAGAGAATACTATCACTGGCTTTTGCAAGAAACCCAAGATCAGTCAAGAGTTCCTTTTTTTTTTTTTATTCTCTTCCTTGCTCCCAATTTTCTCACCGTAATTTCAGAGAATTTGTTCATCCAAAAGATTGGAGAATTCGTTTTCATTTTCTACTAATTAAGAAGAGTACTTATTTTGTTAAAGAAAAAAGAGGTGTTCTCAGTTTTTATCCTTACCAAAAGTAAATTAAATAGATATGCTCTTAACGTTACTATATATCGTTTTTTTTTTTGGGCACAAATCTTACGTACCGTTTTTGTTTCTAATTGTCAACACACATTCTCTTTCAAATCTTAAAGCAACTAATTAAACGTAGGAATATGATAAATAAACTCGAATGGTTTATACACCTTACGATTTGGTATATTTTGATTGCATAATGCATGAAATATGGAAATAATAAGTACTAAATTTTTTCTGGGAAAAAAAGTACTAAAATTTTATATCTTTTATGATATTGCATGCATGGTAGGCTTTTCCTTTTTGGCCCAATTCGTCTTTTATGATACTTTTCACATAGCTCATTTTACTTAATTGTAAGATAACTAAAATTCGTTTATCAAATGAAAATAGATTTCCTTTTTCTACGCCAATGTGCATGACGGGCAGTAAATTGTAATTCATTATAGAAATATGTTTGGCCAAAAAATCATTCTAACCAGTCACCATTCAGTTAAAAATATATTCATCTACATGGATGTAAAAAAAAAACAAAATAAAAAAATTACCCCTACTTGGATCTGTTAATATTTGAATATAACTCAGTCAGGTAATTATTTCAAAAAAGAACATTTTTATAACACACAACAACAATTGATCAAAAGAGACATCGATACGACTATTTTAATAAATTTTTAACGTGTATGCAAAATTTAAATATTTTAAATAAGAACCTCAATTGTGTTCCCAAATGTAAGACACACAAGGTCAAGCTAATTATCTTTGAAAAATAACAACAACAACAACAATTTACAAACGGCATGTTCACTACTGCAGCTAAAACATAAGTTAACAATAGCAATGAAAAAGTACATATATAATGTATATTCATATGAAAATCTTAAGATTCTATAAAATTAAAGATCCACAAAAAAAATAAAAATAAAAATTGTTTGTTATCATGCCATTGCTCATTACTTAGAACAAAAATGATCTGTTCATATCAATGGCCCTCACTACAATTTCAGAGAAAGATCCTCGCTTACACTTAGCTTTGATTGAAAAGAAGAACTACATCTATAGTCATAATTTAAATTAAACCAAACAAAAAAAAAAAACAAAACAAAAGATGAAGGAGAGCTTTATATATGGCTCTGTTGTGGGCAAACATATAGCGTAATAATTAATCATCTGATAAAACGAAAATATGATTTTGTAAAAATAGAGCAAAAAGCAGAAATTAAACTAAAATGAATGAGCCTGGGCCAGACATTGCAGAATATTGACCTGCATTTGCAGACACCTGACATAACTTTTGAGCTCCGCAAGCATTTCCTGGTCACTGCTTATCTCTTCTCCTCCTGGTACCAACCTTCTCAGCCTCCTCATCACCTCCTTCTCGTTTTCCTCCGCCGTCACCGCCGTCAGATTCTGGTCGTACTCGCAGTTCGCCATCAGTTTCCTTGCGGTTGATGAAGATGATGAAGAAGAAGAAGAAGACAGTGCTCCTCCATTGATGACGTATTGGTTATGTTCTCGGAGGAGGCTGAGTTTTAAGGCGTTGCTCCAAGCAGAACCCTGAGCTGACAGCACCATTGCCATGTCCACTTCGAACTTCACACCCTTCTTCAACGAATCACTGTGTTCTTCCTTATTGTAGTCTGTGTTTTCCTTCATCTTCGTCAAGGCTGGAACTAGATAGCTCAGGTACTTCCTCGCGAACACAGCTTCCACTATTTTGTTTGGCTCCAGAGAGTAAACGCGTCTGCGTTTAGCTGCTGAACCCTCCATTAAGCAGAAGAACTGAGATAAAAGGTCTGAAAGAGGAAGATATCTGTTGGGTGCAGAGTGAAGCTGGTTGAATCACGCAAGATAGTGGTGGATATATATATTATTATATGTACACTCGTGAAGCCGGTTGATTTTGTAATTAAGCTTAGATATATTTGAGTGGAAGAGAGACTCTAAAAATTTGTTTTATTTAAATGTAATAAGTGTTATATATATATGTATATATTTTAATTTTTTTTTTAAATCACGTACGTTTGGATGGAAGAAGCAATAAATAAACAGCAGCTCAAATATTGTCCTGTAGCTTAAAATTTTAATTTCAAATTAATTATTTTATGACAGACAATTAAACATCAAGTTAGTTAATTTGTAACCCAACACAAGTGGAATTTAAACCCATGGACGTACAATTAATGTTGATGTAATATATTGGAGTAGTATTCTCACAAAAAGGATTATCTTTAAAATTTGCTAGACATGTGTGTGCATATATATATATATATATATATCGATCTAGAGGCCAACCAATTAATAGGCAGAGAAGATTATTGGAGTGAGACAATGAATAAATAGAGCAAGCTAGATTGAATGAAGAACATGGTTGCAGACACGCACACGCACAACACACACACACACACAAGATAATTAAAGATGGTGACGCGCTAGGTAGGAAGCTAAAGAAGTGAATCCATGGAGGTACGTAATAAGGAAGAAGAAGAAGAAGGAAGAGCAGGAGGAGAAGGTGCCATTAGAGAGGGCACATGGACTCACATGCGTGTTGCCCCTCCCATGTGCCACTATCCTCCAAGAAACACAACCTTTGCCCCCACCATTAATACCCCTCACATGTTCTCTCTGTTTCTTTTCTGTCCAAAAAATGTTTACCTGAGTTGGGTCCCAATTGGGTATTCATTATCAAGGTCATGACATGTTTCTAGATTCAAAAAACACTTACAATTATATTTATAGATTACCCATTAATAACATCGTACTCACATTAGTAATAAGATTTGAATATATATGATTTTATGAGTTACTGGGTCAAAATCATTATCAACTAAACCATCATTTATTAGCCACATGTTCTCTCTTTTCATCCTCCGTGCATGTGTGTGTAACAGAGTGTGCGTGTGTGCGTGTGTCATGCAGCTTCTTGTTGCTGTTGTTTGCTTTGGATCTGTGGTACTGCTGTTTTCCTTTTTCATGGCCAAATTGAATTCAATCAACCAGCTCATCCTGGAGTGCTATATTTATGGATTGGGGTTTTATCATCGTGGGTGATCCCATTTTAAGGGAACCCTAGCACCCATCCATTTAATTTCTACCACACACACACACGCATGCATGTACAATAATGTCTCGTTTATTGAGATGAGATATAATATCATGGGAGGCTTGCAGTTGCACGCTTCCATAAATTCCACTGACCTTGAATGTTGACACACAAGAGACACACATAAATACATGTTGCAGAAAAAATAACAGGCACCAAAGGTGCACAATAGGTATTTTATATTGAGAAAGGATTTTAAGACTGATTTTTCACTGCACTATACTCCTTTAGTCCTCAGTTGAAAATAAGTTTTTATGAAAAATGATCAAATTACCTCTAAAATTTAAAATAACATGTGTTCATCCTTCACAAACAATAAGTCATTCGATTATTGACAACAACCAATTCATAACTGATAATAATATATTCAAAATTTAATAAAATTAAAAAACTATTCATCCTACATAAATAACAAACAATTCAGATTTTGATAATAATTATAATTCATCGTTGATAATAACATATTCAGACAATAACAATCAATTCATATTTAGTTGTTTCTTTTTCATTAAAAAAGGCAATTAATTCGTTTCCTGTAAAAATTTATTTCAATTAAAGATCAAGGGAGTGAAAAATTAAAATTTTAAAGTTCTTCTTTGATATAAAACACCTCCTGTGGTCCTCAATTGATATTTTGCTTTAAAAAAACAAACAAACAAACCAGATGGATGATTATAGAACAATGATGATGGACCTTAGAAACCGTGGCACACCAAAGTCAAAATCTTGGTTCCCCTCTCTAAAAGCCATCCAATGACTATTATTCGAAAATTATGTGTCAGTTTCATATGTTAAGTTGAATACTAAATCACTTACTTATAAACATGTGTTAACGTTTAAGCATGTGTATGTAATAATATACTCATCAGTTTTGACAAAATCAATCTTATAAGCTCAGTGTCAGTGTGAGTTTCACTTTTTGAAAGTCAATAAACAGCGCAGTTTAAAAAGATGCGTTCTCTTTCTGACCCAATTATAGGGTTAACTTATAACTTTAATAGAGTTCTTAAAAAATAGTTAATATCTTCATTTTTTTTTAAAAAAATACTTTTTAAGTTTACATTTCACTTAAATTAATAATAACAATAAAATATGTTTAGGAATTAAAAGTTCGCCAGCAACTTGACACAAAAGATGATAATATTGAAGAAACATTAGTATATCCTGGTCCTATATTATAGGACGAAATAAGACTTTAAAACTTTGTCTTTTAATCAGAAAAATGTGGAAAATATAATTTATTTTAAACCATTTTACAATTCATTTATTGCTAATTTAGTTTTATTGTAATTCAACTGAATTTGTCTCAACTTTGAAGTTTTCATAGGGCCTACGGGTGACAGTATATAGGCTTAATTGTTAGGAAAAATAATAATAAAATCCATTTAAATTATATAAATGATAATTTAACCTCTCAAAATTTCATAATACTAATGAAATTTTTAAGAACCTTTTAATCAAATTTTTTTTTAAAAGATCATTTTAGCCTTACTAAAAATAATAAAATTTAATCACAACTTTTATTTAAGGAATCACAATTTTTATTCTATAAATCGCAAGAGTTGAACAATAAATTATAATTTGTAAAATTTAATTTCTGTTATTAAAAGACAAGCCTCAATCACAATTTTTATTTAAGGAATAACAACTTTTGTTTAGTGAATAGTAAGAATTGAACAAAAAATTATAATTTATCAAGTGTAATTTTTATTATTAAGAAAAATTTTCAAAATAATAAATTTCATTCACAACTTTTCTTTAAAAAATTGCTAGAATTAAATAAAAAATTAAAACTTATTAATAAAGATAAAATGATCTTTTTCCTAAAAAAAGCTATTAACAAAGAGATCCTTAGAGACTTTATTAGTATTATGACATTTTGAGGGATCGAATTATTATTTATATAATTTGAAGAGATTTATTGCATTTTTCCTAATTGCTATCCTTAAATTACTTTGTTTGCTTCAGCTATATATGGTTTGATATTATATGTAATCTGAGTTCAGTGTAAAATCAAAGTAAAGTAATTCTAATATAGTCATTTCTCATCGTAATTAAAAACACACACACATATACTCTCTCGCTTGGTAAGTAATTTTTATCAAATCTCACTCTCAATTAAAATAATTAATTATTTTTGAATTGATAACATCTTTTTATATTTATTTTTAATTAATATAGTATTTTATTTTAAAATAAATATAAAATAATTTATTTATTATGTATATTTTGGAAAAAAACACATTAATTATATTAAAATAATTACTTATTTACTATCCAACTCCTCATGCTTTTATGTTTTTAAATTGAGGAAGTATATATATTGTATTTTCATATGGTATAAATCTTGAACTAAAATATTAGATTGTATTTGAATCTCTTGTTATGATATTTATAGTATGTGGACAAAAAGTCACGAGTAAAGAAGGTACTTTTTTATTGTTTGTTTGTCCCACATTTCAAAACAATCAATTAAAACAGCAAACTTTTTTCCTCAATTGGGGCATATATTATATAGAACAATGAATTATATATCTAACGCAATAAAAGAATATAATACAATTAATAAGTAATTATAGGGGGAATGAAATAAATAAAAACAACTAGGAATCAATAACGAATTAAAATTCTCTTATAGAGAGATTGCTAAAGTAATCAATTCTTGAGATTAAATTTCATCGCTACATAATAAACTTGTTAAATGAGAATATTAAGCATGATCCATAAAAGTTTTGACCTACCAACTTCATCACGAAAACTAAAAAAAATTAGTTACATTATTAAACTTGTCTAGAAATTATTTTGATTTCTATGTTTAACCCAAATAAATACCATACATTTGAAAAAACAAATATGTTCTCTCTCCTTATTGGAACTTGAGAAGTGACCATCCCAAAAAATTAGTGTTCCATGAATTCTTATAAAATATTCCCCGCCATCCTAATTTATAAAATATTTTTAAAAAATTTAATATTTTAAAATATAAAACATTTTAAAAAAATTAAAATTTTATTAAATAAACTTATTTTAATATTATTCTCTCTCTATAATTAATTTCTATCATTTCTCATTTTAATATATTAAATTATAAATATTTTTAGATGTTCATATTTTTGTTTTGAAAAGATAAATTATTAAGTGCATTTAATGAGGTTTATTGGTATGTAAAATTTTATCTAAAAGTTTCTTATATTTTGAAATGGAGAGAGTAACTTGTATTTAAAATTATATAATTATTAGGAAAAGTTACATCTAAGTTTCACATAAAAAAATTATTATCAAAAGGTCTCTTGAGTTTTACAAAATACTTTTAAGTCTTAAATTTTGTGCATTTACAAGTTGCCAAAAGGTATTAACAATTGAACAATGACCATTTATAACTTAATATTACAATATAAATTGTAAATGGCTGTTACTCAGTTGTCAATACTTTTAATCAAATTATAAATATGTCAAATTTAAAACTTAACAGTATTTTATAAATTTTATAAAATTTTTTAATAATAAATTTTTTTATGTAAAACCTAAATATAATTTTTTTTATTATTTTAAAAGATGATTAATATATAAGATGGGAGAGAGGAAACACAAGGAAGAAGACAGGGGAGGGTAAGAAAAAGGTTGGATCAAAAGGCGTTTTGCTTTGAAAGCAGTAGGGACGTGGTGTGTCTTCAAAGTTGGAAGCAAAAATAATTAAATGCCAAACCACCTTTTGAATGTGAGTGGGACAGCCATGCATGTGCTCTA